TGTGTAGAAGGAAATTTCAGTCAAAGCCCTTTAATCACAGTGATTACTCAGAGGATGTAACACTAGATGATCAAGGGATATCTCATCCATCATGGCATTGTACTGGATATAGAGAGTGCCCACAAGGACGCATACTAGTAAATCTAAAGAACATAATCATCTTTTCAGTAGACTTGCTCAGTAGAGCAGGAATGAAGGTTTCACAAGTTCTATTATCTATTACAATTCAAGGAAAGGTGTTTAGATTCTGTGCTGCTACACTATGGAATGGTGGACACTATATTGGTATGTTCCAATTCAACAATGAATGGCTACTTTATGATGGAATGAAGGAAAACCAGGCTAAGAACACAGGAGTTACATACTCATCTCATGTACATGATGAACCACAAGGTTATATACTAAGCTATGTTGTATTTTGTGTTTAAGCATAATAACTTGTACTCATGTCCCTAATGCATTTTGATACTAGAGTGTTGATATTTTTTTTATATGGTTTAATAAAAGTGTGCAATTTGATTGGCTTAGAGGAGCGTTATTTATCCTTAATAGTGGTATTTCAAATTGCATCTGTTACGGCTCGGGATTCCTGTGTCATTAGGCCCGCAAGGGCTTCTTGGGAAAAACTATCGTTGTCATGTTTTGACTCTTGTTATGCTCAATAAAAGAGAGAAATTTACAGTGTAGTTTCGTACGAATTACATTGGTGACCCCGACGAAGGACACAGCAACAAGACAAACAAGTCTTTGGCTCCATAACGTTTGGAAAACTGCTTATTTTTAACCTGTTTTCGCTGCTTATTGCTTCATGATGCCAGACGACGATGCCGTTCCAGATACCAAGTCCGACATCACAGCCGTTGCTCTAAAACTACCGCAATTCTGGCACACTGATCCGCAAATATGGTTTGCACAAGTCGAAGCACAGTTTGCTACTCGGAAAATAACAAATCAAGATACGAAATTTCATCACATTGTAGCATCACTTCCTCCGGAAGTCGCTGTTGATATTCAAATCATTCAAAAGCCGACAGTAAACGCTTACGATGAGCTTAAAAGGAAACTCTTGGAGAGGACAACAACAACAAAAGCCCAGAAATTACAACAACTACTAGCCACAGAAGATTTAGGCGATCGTAAACCTTCTCAACTCTTGCGACGATTCCAACAGCTGTTAGACGACAGCCCAGCCGAACACCCATTAGTTCGTGAGCTATTCTTGCAACGACTACCCCAGCAGGTACGCCAACTTTTAGCTGTTACCACCAAGTCAACAACATCGTTAGAGGAGCTCGCACAGCTAGCGGATAAGGCAATGGAAGTACAGCATGGCCTGAATGTCAATGTTGTTCAGCATCCATCTGCGTCGACAGCTGTTGACAATCTGCAAGCCCAGCTAAATGAAATCAACAACACTTTAGCAGCATTGACCAGAAAGCAGTCAAAGCTCGCAAAACTCCCTACAACGACCTCCCAAACTAGCCAACAAACCTTATGTTGGTACCACCAGCGCTTTGGAGACAAGGCTCGCAAATGCCAGCCANCTAAATTAGAATCGTCATTCAGACGTTTTCGATCCATTAAAGATACAAAAGTAGAAAACAACTATCGAAGAATAGAATAAATATGAGTTTTCTAGAGTTTCGGATATAAAAAAGCTAAAAACGACGGTCTAAATCACCCTCTTTTGAAGAGAAAATGATTTTAAATGGACTGGTTACGAGTCAAAATCGTTTGCTGTAGGGTGGGGATGGTGGGGTTAATGTATATCTATAGGTTTGACTTTGGGTTCCCCCAGTAAGTTATATTTTGTAGTGACTCTCGAGCATTTTTCATAATTTTGATCAAATTCTCGCGTATTTTCGTAAATATCTCTTCCGTTTTTATCTGAAATCATTGAATAGCTAAGTCAAAGTTGTAGTTTGACATCTATGTAATCAAATGGTCATAAGTTTAACTCGCTTTGGATAACTATGTGACGAACACAAACGGCCAAAGTAGTAATGGCATGTGAAGTAAATCCAAGATGGCGGCACGCGAGTCTGTAGAAGAACAACCATGCAAGGCTAGTCGGAAATGCGATAAGGAAGCTGGACATAAAGGCCGATGCAACACTCAAAAGCAAGTGAATAAATTCTGGGAAACATCCATCGTCTACAAACTTAATGTAAGAAAGAGAAAACTACTCGATGAAGAGGAACGTTTTGAAGAAGAACAAGAGGCGAAGCTTTCGCACTTGAAAGCATACGAAGATCAAGTGACGAACGCTGAATCAGAGTTTCAAAACCAGTTAATCGCTAAAGGTAAGGGCACATATTTCAAGCTTTATTTTAGCAATTATTTAATTTTTAATTAATCCCTTAGAAACTCTTTTTACGCTTAATTTAACTGAAGCTTAAGTTTTATTTTATTTTGTGTGTTTATAACTAATCTTCCACAACACATGAATTTAATATCCGTTTTGTTTTGTCTCTTTACTTTAAATTATTTGATTAGTTTGAATAGCTAATTATGGAGGAAGAATATCTTTTAATAGATAATAAATTCGTTGATGGGATCTCCAATTATTTTATACCTGTGATTGTCAATGTTCTTAATTTTTGTTGCCTCTTGATCTATTCAGAGAAAGAACTGTCATGTCTTCAAGTAAAGTTAGAGGAATCAGAACGGAAGGTCAAACAGCTACAAGAGGAACTATCTATGACTACACAGAGCCTGGAACAGCTAAAATCCATTATATCAGCACTTGGCCTGCATCCAAAAACCTATGCTAAATCCAAAAGAGAAAGCAAGATCACAACTATGGAAATGATAAGTGATAGCAAGTCAAGCACACGATACAGGAGACGAAAGGAGACTGAAGTATCATTAAAATTTATACACGGAGGTGAAACTGGCTCATTCTACGGTTGCTGGGACTATTTAGTTGCTAATGCTTCAAAAGAGCTGATAACATCTTTAATTGTTAGTTACAAGAGGGGAAAACATCTCCAGAAAATCTTCAGCACTGCTATGAAGGATTATCAGTCATCCCCAGATGCACTTAAACAAGCAGTAGCAACTAAATATAACAACTACTTGTCGCGCAGAAAGTTTACTCTTGTGTGCAAAACACAGTCGTCATACTTCAATGCAGAAGATGAAACCTGGCTCCCTCGAAATATCAAGTGTATGGGACTTGATYTGCGTCTTCCTCGGTCAGTTTCTAACTGCTCAGTTGATAAATTTGTGAAAGGTCTTGACATTGGTAATGTAACACAATTGCCCAATGCTCCTGGTGTGTCGAGGACTGTAACTGGACTTGTATTCATGATAATAGACTTACACCTAAGAGTCCCTCATCTCAASAAGAAGCTTGTCTGGTTTAATGAGTTGGAGAACCATTTCATTATTCAATTTTCCGATGATGGTGCGCCAGAAACCAGCCAGCTGACAATGTCAATTGGTAGTTTGACATTGTGGAATCTAGGAGAGAGAGTGAGGAGTTCTGAATTCCAGTATATCCTGCATTGTGTCAGTCTTSATGAGAAGAATGTTGTATTAGAGGACCTTTGGAGGCAGCATACAGATGAAATGGCAGTATTGGAGGGTAACACCATAACAATTGCTGGAAACAAATGTACTGTAGAATTTCAACCAAGTGCTGATATGTCCTGGCAGAGCTGGTCAAACAATGAGTTAAATCAAGCTGCAACATATCCTTCACCATACGCAAATGTACACAAGGGTAAATATTACTTATTGGTTAAAATTTATGTATAGATTTCATAATTTTTTTGCATTTATTTTCTTTGATCATTCATTCGTTCACTCTGTTGTATATTATCTAATATACATGCATCTACATATTTGTTTTATCTGTTTGTGTTTTTTTTTTTTTTTTTGCCTTTTTTATTTATTAAGGTATATAATTATATTTTCTTATCTGTACTTATGCAAATATTTGTTGGTTTTGTTTATATTCAATCTTTTTTTTTTTATTTAATTTAATTATAGGTAATATTCAAACACTGGGTGGCTCAATTGGATGTACMCCAGATGATACTTGGAAGCCTTATAGCAATTCTGATAGAGAAAAGCACGCCAAAATGGTGAATGACTTCACATCTTCCCTATCAGCCACAATGTCCGAGAAAAGCAAGCATGACAAATTACTTCTATTCATGGCGGAAAATGGGATTCGACAACTAGGGCCACCACGAATTGGAGCTTRTGCCAATAAGCAAAGGCCAGAACCACTCCATTGTGAAATAAATGCCTGGCAACACATATTATGCATAATTTATCTGGAATCCGTGCAACGAGGTGTATTTGATCGCTTTACTGAAATATTGGGTGCACCAGTTAAATCCAATATGGCGTCTAGTGACAACACTACGGCTCCTCGTCTTGATTTGAAATCACAAAATAACAGCGAAGAAAGAGGGGAATCCTTTTGGAATACATCGGTAGTTGAAATGAAGTTCTCGGTGGATGACTCTGGCCAGGATGAAATGCCTATGCAAGAGAATCATGAAGCACGTGTTCTGGGATGCGGACTATCATACCTTGTTCCTAAGATTAAAGAACACTATTCTGATGAAAAGAAGAGGTACAACAAAATTTCAACAAGATTAATTGGAGATCAGGCCATTGCCCTTGCTCGCTATGGATTTCGGTTAGTTGATTGTCTCGAAACTGCTGATGAATCATCTGTTCTAACTGTTAAACGTTTGGTACTCAGCAGAATCATTCTATACCTCAGAAATGCCTGTACCTTATTTAACAAAGTCCAGACCACACCAGCTGAACTTCTTGAACTAGAGGAAAATTGCAAACTTTACTTTAATTTTCTTTGCTTATTTTTCCCCAGTCAAGTTAACGTGACATGCTGGACAGTAGGGTATGCCATCCCATACCATGCACATAAACTGTACAGTTTATACAAAGTTGGTTATGGGATTATTTCACAGCAAGCAAAGGAGGCTAAACATTCAGCAGTTAAGAATGATTTAGACTTAAGCAACAGATCAATGAAGTCAGATGAAAGTGGAAAGTGGTGGCAAGTCATAAGAGCTAACTATGTTAGAAGCTTTTATCTTCCTGAGCACCAACCCATCCCATCTACATACAAGGCCCACTTCAAGTCTAGAGTCCCACCTCACTGCATGTCTGAAAATGTTTGTAATTGTGGCAGAGCCAAGACAGACAACTCTGATTCATGTCTTACTTGTCTTAACTGCAAAGATGTTCAGGAATGTGCCCAGAGTCAAGAATTGTCACCTCAACTTGTGAGTCTTTTAAAGCCCCATGTTTGTACCCAATGTGGACATCGGTTTGGCGACAAAGTTGATTTGGAGTCTCATGCAATTTTACACAGAGKCGACAATGGATCTTCTCCAGTGGACTGGGCTAYCAAAAACCCAAGAGAAATGAGTGTTGCTGAGCTAAAGTCAGAACTCAAGAAACAAAATCTCAGCACAGTCGGAAAGAAAGACATTCTTGTGAAAAGGCTAGAAAGTAGATTGTGGGTAGAGAAATAAGGTGTTTAGATTATTCTGTTTTGAGTGTACACATTTTATCTCTAACACCAACTTTGTACAAAGTTTATTTTATTATCATTATATAACAAGTACCATTATTACAAAATAAAATATATTTAAAAATCCAAACTAATGCAACCATGTGAGACATATATTTCAATTATGTCAAGTCTTTAGTTTGGAAAACAACTTATTGCTTATTACTGTAACTGTAATTTAAGTWTGTGTATATAGAGCTATAACACTTACTCTCTGAAATAAGATCTAAATAGTTACTTTGCAATACTTCAAATTTTGTGACTATAAGTCAATATTACTCAACCATAAGAATTTAGTATTTGAAGTCTCTTGTGTACTTATAGTCACTAAATTGGGATTGCATGTATTATTATATCACAGATTAAGTGTTAAAGTTCAGTCTATAATAGTTGAATGAATACACCATTTTAGTTCTGTTATGTAAAAAGTACATTTTCAGACATTTTGTGTGAGTTTKTCTCTTATGCCAATGAGTATAAATGTACCAATACATGTAAATAATAATTTACTCCAAGGAAATGAAATGGGAAAAACATTGAACTAAATGTGTGAAGGTAGTATACATTCATTCAAACCACAAAACCATATTATAAAACTCATTAATATTCATAAGGCAAAACACAATAGAAATCATAGCCCATGAAGAGAGTTGTATATTACATACAGATTTCTTGTTCATTTGCATAAACTTTTACTCTGATTTTCTCAGTCAGATTGAATTTTTTTTCAAAAGTTTCTTTAAAACCTGAGCTAATTTACCTTAACGTTTCATAAGTAATATACAATATTCGCTTTCAGCTCGCTGTTTTAAATCCTCATACAGATCGCCCGCTCATATTGTATATATTACTTAAAGATTTTGTTTGATTTTTGTGATTGATGTTATTTTTTATGCTTTTATAATTGATATTAGAATATATGTAATAACTCTTGATACAGATAGATTATTGAGGTGTCTGTAAGGTGAGAGTTACTGTATTATTTTTTTTCCAGAGTGATAGAGTAAATGTGCTAAATCTGTGAAACATTATTTATTTAATTATGATTTTGAGTTCATTAGTGCCTGAAGGCTTGTATCTATTGGGTAATTATCGGCAGTGTACCTCTGAATATARAAAGAAACATACGCTCGCTGAGTTTTCATAGAGTAGTCAATACAAAATGGTGATGCCTCTGACACAACAACTGTTGACTTKCCTTGATACTTGGACTCCATTTTCCCAYCTTTAGTCGATGGAACTTTCTTAAAATGTCTTGAAGCAAACAAGGTTTCTCCAGAAAAACGAGCTGGTGAAAATARTTTCTTCAGCGATTGCATTTTTGTCAGAGTTACAACATGCTTTGATCCTTTATTTGTGGTGGTGACATCTGAAGAATAGCCTCTGCATAATATGAGAAGGTGGCGGAAAACTGCCCAAGGAAAATACAAAGAGATTGGATTAGCTAATCCAGTAGCTTTTGATCTAGTGAGCTTTGATTTTAGCTGCTTTCCGAGCTCAAACAAGTATCCGTCAATGAGAGGACCGACCAGCTCCAACTTATTCCCAACGATCTYCTCTAGTTGATTGTCCATGTTCAGCATGCCATAACATGGTTTTCTTGTTGCCCCTCTTACTTTCTTGATCCACTCACGTTCCACCGAGAACTTCATTTCAACTACCGATGTATTCCAAAAGGATTCCCCTCTTTCTTCGCTGTTATTTTGTGATTTTAAATCAAGACGAGGAGCCGTAGTGTTGTCACTAGACGCCATATTGGATTTAACTTTATGTACGAAATCCGCTGAAAAACATTGAGTCCGCACAATTTTGTAGGAAATCCGCTGAAAAACATTGAGCCCGCACAAGTGGGAGATTTTTCGACCAGATTAACCAGCGTG